AAGATAAGCTGACTTTTATATGCTTTTGTAGAGAGGAATTAAGATATAGTGTCCGAAAGGGGGGGTGTCAAATGTAAAGTGCCATGCACAAATTCATATTTTCAAAGTCTTCCTAATCAGCTTTTGTATTTTGGTTGCTACTCACATCGCCTGCCAGTGCTTCGCGGTTAGCTGTAGTGTCCACGGTCGCCAGATTATCGACGGCTGACGTGCCCCGGATCTGGGCGAAGACCACCACAAGATTGCGAGATGCAGATGCTGAAACAAAAAAGACGGATACAATGCTGAGGCGCGATAAGGCTTCCCCATGTGCAGGCGGTATTTAGGGGGTTGGTGCTCTTGAGACTCAACAGAGTTTCAGACGGTCACCGAACAAAGTTCCTTCCTTTTGTGGAAGGCGTGGTGGGAGCGCACCTGCGTGGCCAATCCTCTTGTTAAAAGTCACTGAAACGGTAGATGCGTTGAAAATGAGTTTATCACGAGTCCGGTCGCTAGTTACTTACAAAGCGGATTCCCATTCCCTTTGCAGTAATTGACAGGGGATGAACTGCTAGGGTGTATGCTCATATTGACCACAGTTTATTTGAATAGCTCTTTAATTCGCTCGCAACTCGATAGCTTAGAACGGCTTCTTGTAAGGACGTACAAGTGATTCCAGTATTAAGCACTGAAAGCGATATCGTGAAATGATAGCGAGATACGTCCGGGAAGGAGGGGGTGATAGAGTGTAAGACAAAAGCATACATTAAATTAAATGGCAATACCTGTGCATACTCCACTGACACGGAAGTAGTTAGTTCGGCAGTTGCAAGAGAATCCACCGACGGTGTTGACGCATTTCTCAGTGTCCGAGCAGTTGTCAGACTTGACGAAACACTCGTCAATATCTGCCGAGATTTGTAATGAACAAACAATTCTCAATGCACGCATTAAAGTGGTAACCGAATAGAACACATTGAGGTGATGTGAGGACAGACATGGAACATTTACTGAGACGTTAACTGACAATGAACGCAAAATTGAAGTTTTTCCCTTTGATCAACTCACCTGTGCAAGTGTTTCCGTCTCCTGTGTAGCCCGCATTGCAACTACACGTGTACGACCCTGCGGTATCTGTGCAGAGGGCGTTGGCGTCACACGAATCGATACCAGCAGTGCATTCATCAACATCTATGCAACGGTCAAAGAAAGGCAACGTAAGACTTTCGTCGACGCCATATCAAATTACACCTTACACTGGTCGGAGTTTGAAATAAAAATGTAGGCAGGGATATTATGCCGTTCAAGTAATTTTGAGTGGAATATCCTTACTTTTACTAGTCCTGCCGTTGAAAATTAAGCATAGGGTCAATTTTTACGTTTTATGTTTTTGCTTTGACAAGTGTTAACGTCCTTCTATGCAATACAGGAAAACAAGTCAACCCAGAAGTTTCACCAAGAGAATAGACAACAATTTCTTGTTTGGATGGAATAACCACCAAAATCCTTACTCTGGCACTGGCCGTCCATTCCGTTGCCTTGGTAACCAGTGTTGCAGCTGCACGTATAGGAACCGTCATTGTTCGAGCACGTTGCCAGGGCGTCGCAGCTGTGTCTGTACTCCAGCTGGAAAGTGGTGCATTCGTTGATATCTGCGAGTAGCAAATGAGTGAAGGTGATATCTCACAAAAAAGATCGAAGTTGCCGAAGAGAAGGTAACAAGCGGTCTCCAATGCAAGTGTAACAAATACTACGTGCAGGCAACTCTGGTCTTTTTGGACTGAATTTAGTGCTTTCAAAAGCGGACATTCAGCAGTACAGTACAGTATACTGGAACCCGATTGTGCGAGAGACGAAAGGGGTTCTTCATGCCCCCAAAACTCAAGAACATTTGCAAGGAAGGTTTTCTTGCTGCTGTTTTTCCTGTTGGAAAGAGGGCGAGTACAGATCGTAGAGCTGATGATGCCAAGGTCAAACCAACCTGTGCATGATGTCACTCCATCTCCGTAGTATCCAGTCTGACACTGGCACCCGTAGCTGCCAGCCGTGTTGCTACACACCCCATTGGCGTGACACAGAGTTGGGTTCTCGGTGCATTCGTCGATGTCCGTGCACGACACCTTGGCGTCGCCGCGGTAGCCGGCGTCACACTCGCAGTAGTAGGCCCCATCGGTGTTGGTACACTGGCTGAAGTTGGCACAGCTCGACATGGTGTCGCACTCGTTCACGTCTGCCCAAAAAAGGAACCGGGATAGAATCAAGCGGCTGGACAGAGGGCACCTGTACTTCGTGCGCCGAAAAGCAAAAATTGGTTTTCAATATGGCAGACGCGTTCGCCAAGTCACTACCATGGAAACCCAAGGTCCTGAAATTGAAGGCTTCCGATAATACCGAGGTATAGCACTGTTCCTCACCTGAACAGTTCTGTCCGTCGCCTGTGTAGCCCGAATTGCAAACGCATTCATAGGAGCCCACCGTGTTGATGCACTCGGCCTCAGCATGACACTGACCAGGTGTACTGCATTCGTTTATATCTGGAAGAGAGTTTTGAAATACGTTAAAGCAGAGTTGTCGTGATCTAAGTCACTGAGGTCACATTTCCGTTTTAGAGATCATTTGGAAACGTATTATTTAGAGTTGTAAACATAATATGTACCACGATTGTGAGTGGTTTTGTGAGTCATTAATCACACAAAATGCTGGTTTTGAAACTTCCCTTATTTTCGTAAACAGCTTACACTATATTTCAGTGATTTGGACAGTAAACGTTTCAAACAAAATGTTATCGGTGGTACAGCTCTGAGATCTCGACCGTCAGCTCATACGGTACCAACCAGTCCCACATAAGACGCACACATTTGGCTTACCGAAGCAATCTACACCGTTCCCAGCAAATCCTGCTACACAGGTACAGGTAAATGAGCCCGCAGTGTCCGCACAGGTTGCATTCGCTGAACAGTCATCCGTATTCAAGCTGCATTCATCGATATCTAACAAAATAAGCAATAACTGATTAATGCTGTCAATAAACCTAAAACATAATAATTCATTAACTTGCGCGATCTACTATGGGAGTCGATGGATCGCGACCCAACTCACTGCAATAGAAAAGTCACGTGTACACAAAGCGTGACGTCATTATGTTACATAAAAAAAAATTGACGACTTATGCCGAGATAAAACCTCTTTTATAATCCAGACTGAATTCTTCAATGGGCGATTCTAAATTATTCAATATGCTGACGGCAACAAATTTTCCATTCACCAACAGCCGGTCACATTGTATCATTTTGCAACATTCTACTCTTTGAAAGACGTTTTCTTCAGCAATCGTTTTCTACTTTTAGTGTGCATTTTGTGTTTAATTCTCTTACTCGTGCAGGATGTTCCATTTCCTTCGTAGCCTCCGTTACAGGTGCAATTGAAGCCACCGTTGGTGTTGGTACACATTGCATTGCTGTCGCAATTGTCCGTGTTCAGCAAGCATTCATCAACATCTACGGCGACGGAAAGAAGAGTGCATTTACGCATACAATCAATTTTTTTTACGAACAACTTGTGAGAGTACATATACATGTGTGTAACAAAACAAAACCAGACTCAGACTACAACACGTGTTTACATGTTTATTCTGTCTTTTTTTTACACAGAGAATTCCAAAGGGATTGAAAAATTGGCACAAGCACCCCTTTCTCCTCTTGTTAATAATCTGTCGACGAGCATCTCAGATCTTAAAGTCATCCAGTTCAACTTTTTTTGAAAGGAGCGTGATATACAATAGCAAATATGTGACTTTTGCACTTGGTCATTACAACGTTTGAAAGTTTTCTGAAACTGCAAACTTGATATTCGAAGGTCAGTCTGTTGGCTTTAATTATCAGGAGGGCCCAGTCAATCGAGAAAATAGAATTATATCTATTTACCAAGACAATTTCTCAGATCGCTTGCCAGCTGGTACCCAGATGCACACGAACAGTTATATCCGCCATCGGTGTTGATACACATGCCGTTGGTGTCGTCACAAGCATCGGTAGAATTACACTCGTCAATATCTAAGAAAACCAAGGGACAATCCGCTCACAACTAATAACCCTCAGTTGTCTCAAATTATTCTGATCAAATGGTAAGACTACAGTGATTTGTCACGTGGTGGATGGTGTCACTATAACAGACTGACGTCCTTTTTTTAGACGTTGATTTTTACATATACAATCGTCATCAAACCACTGTTTCGGAATACTTGTGTTGCCTTTGTTATTATTAACACGAGGCCCCAAGAGGCCACTCTTGACGGGAAACACAGAGAGAAAAACTTCGTGTTTTGCGATCCCAGCTTGGAGAAGGCAGAACATTGTTAAAGTGTTTGAAACTCTGATCAAACCCAAGATTGCTCTTTTAGAAAAAGGAGGTCTCCGGACACCCCTAAAACGATGTTTGTAATGATTACTCTTTGAGAAAAAGGAAGTCTCTGGACACCCTTGAAACGAGAATCGATGTTTGCACCGATTGCTCTTACAAGTCAGTGTGTCGATTCTTCATGTAACTTTCTGCATCCGTCTGTTACTTTCAACACCCATAACCTTTAAAGGACTGGTAACGTACCTTCACAATGGGTGGCATTGATTGCTGCAAATCCCTGGTTGCATCTGCACGTGTCATTGAAGAAAGTGGTATTCCCAGACGTTGTTTCATTGACGAAGCAAACAGCATTTGGCCCACAGAAATTAGCGTCCGTGCAGTTAGCAGAAGCTAGAGAGCGAAAGAGGAATATATCAGTGAGAAATCCTAGTGAAAAGAGGATTTAGAAGTTACACATTCAATACTTCCAAGTCAACAGAGCTAGGCACGGTGTCAAATAGTAAACGGGACTGGAATTTGCAAGAATACCATCATATTAATATTTGATAATGGCTCTGGAAGCAAAGTCCAGCTTCTCCAAATTTACTTAACCGTAGCCACTTACATGTACCTTCCCAACATGCCCTTCTCCCTCCCTCTTTATTTTACGTTCAGAGAAGAGTTTCTGCTTACATTCACAGCTAACCATGTCCACTGCCAGGGTGAATCCAGAATCACAGCTGCAGCTAAAGCTCCCCACAGTGTTAGCGCAATTCTGGGAACAGTCGTCGACAGACAGCGCACATTCGTCAATATCTACATAACAACAGATCACATTTTGTAAAATACAAGCATTTGAAAGTCGCCGTAACCAAATACCGATACGTACATAAACTGTGTAAGACAAACTTACACAATAAAATTTACATGAACGATCAAGTCAAAGTCATAGGTGAACAGTTTCAAAAATAACATGATTTGAATTCGAAGTTTTCAAACTCACCAGAGCATAGGTTTCCGTTCACAGTGAAACCAGAATTGCAAGTACAGGTGAACGATCCGATGGTGTTGGTGCATGTGGAGTTATCCGGGCAGCTTGCCGCGTCGTTGCATTCATTCATATCTATATGGAAAATGTTGAAAGGTACCCTAAGCTCTCAGACTGTGTACCCAAAAGCTAAAAAGTCGTCAGGTAACAGAGAAGCATTTTTTATTTGAATGTTGTCTTCAGTACAAGGTCATCAATTTCAAATGTTCAAAAAGGTGACAGAAGTTTGTCGCAGAATGGCCTTACCAACACATGCGCCTGTGTTATTCTTCTCGTAACCTCCATTGCAGTCGCACCGGTAGCCGCCAACAGTATTGACGCAATGTGAGAGCGATGGGCAGGAAGCTTCACCAGTAGAACATTCATCGACGTCTGCAACGAATTAACAGAATCGTGGAATATTTTTCGACGGGCATTTTAAGCTTGCTTCTCTGATGAACCCGAAAATAACTTTTCTGTCAGCAGACATCACATTTTCTACCACTTTTTTTTAGATTCAAAACCGTGTTCGACACGAATAACACTCTGACACTAAAACTATCACAGACCACATTAATTTCAGTGAGCTTGCAGGGTTAAAATAAAAAAAGGTTTCTAGTTACTTATAATTGGACAAGTCCGACTTGTTAATACTAATGACTATACTTACAAAATCTGAGAGACAAATTACCTGACCGCGAGGTTGTTCAGGTAAAAAAAATGAAAACATTCAATTTCAAGTTCAATTCATGAGATTTAATAACCCATGGAGTTCGAGAAAACATGATTTGAGGTAGCTTACCTACACACAGGACACCGTTGCCCTGAAATCCTGAGGTGCAAGCACAGGTGTAGCTGCCAACGTTGTTTGTGCAGGTGGCATTCACGTGGCACGTGTCCGTCATCGTAGTGCATTCGTCGATGTCCACGCACGTCTCGTTGGAGGAACCGTAGCCAGCGTCGCAGGTGCAGTTGTAGGACCCGTCGATGTTGTTGCACGTGCTGTCCGGAGGGCAGGTGAACAGGCTCGGGTTATCACATTCGTTCACATCTGTACAAAAACGTTAGCCAAAGGGGATGTTTATAAGGAAAGGGGATCAAGAGAGATATGACTCCCTAGGCTACAGAGATATGTGCTGTACCCCTCCTCTGATTCTGAAACCTTGCACCGCCGCTGATTTAAACTCACCATAGAGGAAGGACACAGAAGGAGTTGCGACTCAGACATTTCAAAGTGTACAATGATGGTCGCCGCCGAGTCGACGAATAATAGAGAACAATCCAAAAATGCCTGATTACCGCCTGCATCTTAGCCGGACAAGCGGGGCCAGTAATATCCTAGCAATACTTGTAGTTTTTTGCTTGCAATTAAATACAAATTATCGATGTGACCAGGAAATAGAGAGAGAGAAACATTCCTGATATTAGACCTACTTTTGCCATCGTAAATAAACTTTTAAAATTTTGATACACTGTTCCACTATCCATGCAAAGTTTTCGCAATTTTATTCCTCTCCCTGCAACAGGCCTACTTCAGTTTTAAAGACTTGGTACAGATTTGGCTAAGACTGGTCAACAAAATGTTCACTACAACCTAATAGCTAATAGCTCCTTAGGAACAAAATGCGCTATTTTTTTACACGGAGTGATCGTGAAATCTCATAAAATACGCTTTTGTACAAATGCCATAATAAAAATGATTCAAACAAAGCACAAAATCTTGTAAACAACGGGGCTATTTATTCCCAAAATAACTCCAGAAGAACTAGTTCATTAAGGGCAAAGATTGCACATACAGATACCAAGCACCAACAAAGGCATGAACGTTCAATTTCCTATACCTCAGTACATGAAGTTTTGAGGATGCATATTACATCGACAAAATGCAGCGGCGATCATAACTATGGTACAAAGGGGTTTCATGTTTGTGAAACAGATGGTACGTAGCAAGCGGTCGCTGTGCTCTGGCGATGAACATACCAGGCATGCCAGAAAGCGGTAATTGGCCATATGTTATAACCCAGGCAGGTCAAACTCCTTCGTGTCCTTCCTCTATGAGCTCACATACATCATAGCACTGTGACATTGGAATAATGTATCGCGGTTAGTCATTTGTTGTCCGACATCGCCTCTGGTCTCAGGGGTTTGTTCAAAAGTTCTCCACCATACATGAAGTAAATACCTCACCTGTGCATGTTGCGCCGTCTCCGAAGAATCCACCCTGGCATGTGCAAAGGTAGGAGCCAACAACATTGGTGCAGTTGGCATGCTCATTGCAGGGACTGTTGGAACACTCATCAATATCTAGAATACATGTACGTGTAGTTAATTTTAATCAAAAGGGTATCCAATGTAGTGATTAACTGTGTGGCTGGTATTTTGACATAATAGCCCTTCTTTATCTTCGGAACAAAGAGCAGTGGTAGAAATTAACTAGATGAAAGCAAAGAGTGATGGTAAAAAACTATTAAAATCATAGCAGGCCTAATGCGTGAACAAAGAAGCACACCGAAATCACGTCTGTGCGGTTGGTGGGTTCATTTAAAAATGCCAGTGACAATTATGCTCGCCTGAACGACAAAGGTATCCCACATCCAAACACCTAAATGGACTCACCCTGGCAAAATGTTTCATTAAGTGCCTCGTAACCAGTAACGCAGGAGCACGTGTATGAGGTTGGAGTGTCGACGCACGTGGTGTATGGGCCGCACTCATCTAAACCAGCTGTACACTCGTCTATGACTGTAGAACGAAAGGCAGATTTAGCATATTAAAACAGAGACAAAATAGGAACAATGAAAACAGACGACACAAGCACTGATTATGTCGTAAGTGTATTCTCTATCCAATTAACATTTTATTAGAGTCTTTATCGCCTGCTATGTACATAAAGGGCAGCCGCAATCAATCTGTTTCAAAATGCACTTTTGTGTTTCAGGTAACCTTATTTTCAAATTTTATTTCACTATTTCAAAGGGTACTTTACTGCCTTTTTGTTTGCACGAACTGCATTTAAGAATAGTTAATTAACAGTACCTGTATTTAAAATCTAAACGGGCTAGCTTCTGTTTTTCAACGGGCGAACATAACCTGTCACCATACGCCTGTCCATGTGCGTTCAAAACTATTGCTTTTTGGTGTGTTTACTGAGATGTTATATGACCTATGTACATTTACCAAATTTGAATTATTTCCCTCCGCAAAATTCAAGGTTTCGAACTTACGTTTCGCCATGTTGTTGGAAAATTGGGCTAAACTCGATTAACTTGAGGCAATGGCTAGTAAATGTTTGGCTTACGTTGTGGAGTTGTTGACTGAGGTGTTGTCGTCGTTTCGATATCACTCGAGGCTGTAGAATTCGCAGCAACGGCCACTACTTCTGTTGCAAAAAGTTACAAAATTCATTAAAAGTGTTCAAATATGAACACAGATGACAGAATGTACAGTCATTACACAATGATAGTAAGTTTAAAGTTGCTATCATTCGATTCGCTCAAATCAATTGCAATTATTGTGATACCCCCATGCGACATCCGAAGGGTAATCTAGAAGCTTATGCTATACACTGCACTAGTTTTACCTGTTGCTGCACCAGGTGAAGGTTCATCGGTAGCATTTGCCATCGCCGAGTTGGAGTCCATCGTAACCAAGTTGGTTACCGCGTTGGAATCAGCCGACGTCACTGCCGCCGAGTCTGAAGATGTTGTTGACTCAACATTTGCCGAGCTGGTTACCGCATTGGAATCAGCCGACGTCACTGCCCCCGAGTCCAATGATGTTGTCACCTCATCGTTCGCCGAGTTGGTTACTGCATTGGAATCAGCCGACGTCACTGCCGCCGAGTCTGAC